GTGTGAGGTTCAGTTCTGGGTGTCTCTTTTCAGGGAGGGCGTGGTTAGGCTGGAGAACACCCAGAAAAGGCCAGTAAGGATGGGACCTTGAGACCACACCATTTGAGGATTAGTTGGAGGAATTGAGGATGTTGAGATTGGAGAAAAGAAGGATGGATGTGAAACCACATTCGGCTATCAAGTGACTAGGTTTGTTCTGCCCCGAGGGCAGAATCAGGATCCGTGAGCAGAAGCCAGAAAGGCTTGAACTGCATGCCAAAGTGGTGCCGCCGTAGGTGGTGAGTCAGCCGTCCTTCGCCGGAGCCTCCCCAAGGCTGAAGGACCATCTCGTGGGCGGGTTGTAGAGGGGTTGTTGCTTAGGGTCAGGTTGGCCAGGTAGCCTCGAAGAGCCGTGCGATGGCGCATTGTGTGATGTACCAGCGACTCAAAGGTGATCAGCGCGTCCAGGAGCTCGCGCAGGGCTGTGTTCTCCGTCTTTCCCAAGCTTTGAACGCTAATCTTTGTGCCTGATGAGAGGCTCCCAGCCGAGGTGGAGCGCAGGTTACGCTGCAGGACAGGATTGTTGTTTTTCTTTCTCAGAATGAATAAATAGTTATTGACCTGAATCCCGTTAAGTAGTCGGTTTGGACGTACTCACCGTCTTGTGACTATAGCTCAGAGCTCACCATCAAACAGCTGAGAGGAGAGAGGTGGCGTGCGGCGGGAGGAAGCATTTGTAGATGCATTTATACTCAGTCTAGGATCGGTCTACACTGCATGACGTGGAGCGAGTCACTCTTTAAACGATGTCTCTTCCGCTGCCCTTTACTCCAGCTGAGCAGATAAAGAGTAAGACACACACCCCCACCCCCACTCCCCCAGAATAAAGCCTTCGGTTTACAGGCAAAACAGATCCTCACTTTGGCTGTACCTGAAAACACATGCCTCTGCACTTTCGTCCGGAGGTCAATGGGGTGTTTCCTCTTCTTTCCTTTGGACACATGGTTTGGAGCTGCAGGATCAGAGTTCTAGAGTCTTTCAGAGTTGTTCTCATTCTCCTGGTAAGAGATCTTTCCAGCTTCCTGCAAAACAGTCCATTTTGTCATTGCTCATCAACCGATAAAATCCCATTACATTCATAGACCACACACAGTTTGTTTAGCTATTCCTCAAGAGGAGTATACCCCCTTAGCTTCTAATTTCTGGCTACCACGAAGAGAGCTGCTACAAATATTTTTGTACATATAGGGGCTTTCCCCCTTTCTTTGATTTTTTGGAGGGGTTTTGGGATATTAGTGACATAGCTGGATCAAAGAATATGTGCAATTTGGCAACTTTTGGGGCATGGTTCCCAATTTCTTTCCAGATTGGATGGGCCAATTGACAGCTCCGAGTAAGTCACTTTCAATAGGGCATTAAAAAAATTGTTTTCCTTATTATGAACTTGACAAACATCATTATTTGAACATTGACAAACATTCCTTATTAAAAAAAAAAACAAAAAGAGGATTGCATATAAAATCTGAAATCTCTATTATGTACAGCTTTTTTTAAAAAAACCAATAAATTTGACATGATAGTTCTAAAACTGACCTGCTTATCTGTGTTCTTTTCTGAACTACTTTTGGCCTTCTGTGTATTTTTCTTAATGTTTCACTAGTGTCTTTTTGTTTTTCTGGGACTTCACTTCTCATTTTTCTTTTTCTGGTATATCACTATCATACCTTCCCACTTTGCCCCCTATTACTATTTTCAAGAGATATGCAACTAGAAACTTTCTGAAGTCAGGAGGACCTGAGTTCAAATCCGACCTCAGACCAAACACTTGACACTTACTAGCTATGTGACCCTGGGCAAGTCACTTAACCCCAATTGCCTAAAAAAAGAAAGAAAGAAACTTCCTGGCTAAACAACCAGTGATTAGACATGGTAGAGGGGCTTCTTGGTCAGTCTAAGTCAACAAATATTTATTAAGCACCTGATATGTGCCAACACCTGTGCTCAATACTGGACAGAAAAACATAGTCATTCTAGCCCTCAAGGAATAACTCATTCAACTACAGATTCAACTACTTGGGGTTTCCAGATCACATAAGCAACAAGATGGTGGATGTGACATTTTCTTTCATGCCCACAACTTCTCAGCCCTCTCTAACCCAGAAATTATTTGCCAAAGATAAAGCAACTTCAGCTATTTCCATGGTCTAGGATACCCAGAATCTAAAAGAAGGTTTTAAAAATCCCCCCAAAACCAGGAGATGATGCTCACTGACCCTATGCTCATTCAATTCCCCTCCAACACTATTAGCAGCAAGGCCATACTAGCAGAACTGAGGATACAACACAGGCTTACATCAAAACCCATTCGTCCACCCTATTCCCCACTCTCTTTTTCTAGTGCCTTAGAGACCCTGGCAGCACACTGTGAAAGTTTGCTCAGGCATCAGCAGCCAACGTGCCTCTGGCGTGCAACCCAGAAGTACCAGTGCTGCAAAACTCTGAACTGCTGGTGCTGGAGAAAGCAGGCTCTACTAGAACCAGTGAAAGCAGGCTGTGAACTACTGGTGCCTGGCCAGAAAAGTAAGGAGCAGAAGGAGTGGACAGGATCACCAGGACAGGACACTGTGCATGTGGGGAGTTGTGAAGTGCCCCACTAAGTCTGAAGGAAGAGCACAGCATCTAACTGAAGCCAGTTCTGACCACCCAAAAGTCAGTTGGGGCAGAGACCTAGGCTATTAAACTAGGAATTACTCAGTAAGGGAGGAGGCTAAGATACTTTGAGATCCAGCCCCCAAGGAAATAGTTAGAAGGGAAGGAGTCAGAAAGTGAGTAATAAGAAAAATAAGAGAGGAAAAGATTGAAAGTACCAAAAATTTCAGGAAAAAGAAATCTAAAGACCTTGAACATAAATAGATAAATCAACAGGAAAAATCTAATGACAGGCAATATGGCTTTCAGATGTAGTAAATGAGTCCAGGCATCTATGAATAAATACTGCCCTCCCCCCCCCAAAAAAGGAAAATGATCTAACATTTGATGAGACAAAGGACCCTGTGGAAGCTGAGGAGAGCATGAAACCACAACACACTGTTCCTGAGTGATTTAAAAGAAAATGAGAATTATGAGAGCAGAATTTCTGTCCTGCACAGCAAAAATAATGAACAGAATAGAAGAACTCGAATGGCAATGGCAAGCCTCGCCTAAGAAACAGAAGAGAGAACGATAGATTGGAAATGCAAATACACAGACGCAAAGGACAGCCCAGAAGAAGAGAAGCAAGAAACAGGCACATGGGAAAAAAATATGCTGACCGTGCAAACAAAGCATAATGAAGACATATTGGAAGATAGGACAGACAGAGGCAACCTGGTGATCATAGGAACCCAGATAGAAAACCTTCACACTGTAATGCAGGAAATAAAAGAAGAGAACCGCCCAGAGCTTCTCAACATAGACAATGAAATTGTAATTGAGAGAATTCACGGATCACCTCCAGAGGAGAACAGAAAACAGAACAACCGTAAGCTACAAATTCCAGGACTGCAATAGTGGTTAAATGAACAATTCCAGTCGGAATCAAGAAGTTGTCCAAGCATCAAGAGGTGCTGCCTTCTGAGTTCTCTTCAAATTCTTTCTGGACGATTAAGAGTCTTGTTTGGCTGCAGCATAAGGTCTGTGCAGGGGAATAGTAAGAGGAGCGGCGAGGTGGCTCAGTGGATAGCGTGCCGGGATCAGTTCAGATCCCGCCTCAGACACTTACTGGCTGTGTGACCCTGGCCAAGTCACTTCACCCTGTCTGCCTCAGTTTCCTCATCTGTCAAAGGAGCCGGAAAAGGAAATGGCAAACCGCTCCAGTGTCTTTGCCAAGAAAACCCCAAATGGGGTCACAAAGAGTCAGACACGACTGAAATGAATGAACAACACAGCAAGGTATGTAGTTGACAGGATGCACGACCTGGAATTAAGAAGACCTTCGTTTCAATCTTGCCTTTGGTCACTAAGCGGGTAACCCTAAACTAGTCTCTTAATTTCTCCTAGTCTGTGTCTTCATCTATAAAACAAGGGGGCAGCTAGGTGGCACAGTAGTTAGAACTCCAGTCTTGGAATCAGGAGGACCTGAGTTCAAATCTGACCTCAGACACTTGATACTTAGTAGCTGTGTGACCCTGGCCGAGTCACTTAACCCCAACTGCCTCACCAAAAAAGCAACCAAAAAAAAAAAAAAAGACTAAATAATATAATGAATAAGCATTAATTTAAAAAAAAGTGTGAAAATCTAAAACAGCTGATATTAGCACCTACCTACTAGCATTGTTGTGAGGATAAAATGAGATGATCTATGTAAAGCAGTTCATAAGCTTTAAAGCACTATATAAATGCTCATCATCATCATTACTGTTAGGGAGGAATATTTCTGAATTGAATGATAATGCTGAGAAAAACTAGATGTGGCCCAGCGTTGTGCCTGTTACTTTCTGCTTTTTAAAAGTGTGTGAATAACACACCAACAAATTAAAAGCAAATGTAACAAAAGTGTAACGATCCATCAGGACTCAAATAAAGACAGATGAGGACAGACCCCCAAACCACTCCTTCATGGAGGTAGGAGGTCCTCAGGTGTTATACATTGCACATGTTTTTGGACTTTTTCAATTTATCAGTCAGTTGCACTGACTTTTTCTTTCCTCTCTTAAAAAATACTATTTGTTGGGGCAGCGAGGTCGGCCCTGGAATCAGGAGGACCTGAGTTCAAATCCAGCCTCCAACATTTGACACTTACTACCTATGTGACTCTGGGCAAGTCACTTAACCCTGATTGCCTCACCAAAAAGCAAAAAAAAAAAAATGCTATTTGTCATATGGGATGACTTCCTCTGGGAGGAAGAAGAATGCTTGGGATAATTATGATGCTGAAAGAAACAATATATTAATAAAAATTTATTTTTTAAAAAAAGCATGTGAAAATTTCAGATTCATATTACCAAAAATACATGTTTTAAAAATTTCTGCATCTTTTTTAGATTGATGATATGCTAAATGAAGTTAAATTCAGTGAGTATGTGGATACAGGGAAGCTCGTTGATTCGATCAACTTGCCAGATTTTGTGAAGGTTTACATCAACCACAGGCCACCTTTTGGTCAAACCATGAGTGACGTACGAAATTCTTTCAAAATTCTTGGCTATCTCAATAAGGATGAAGAAATGGCTATTAGGAGAGAAGATTTCCTAGAATTGCTTCTAACCAAAGGTCAGTATACATGCCTAAGGTAGCTTTGGTGGACTACAGCATGCCAATCTACCAACCACTGTTTTCTTGAGGGAGGAGTAACACAAAAGACGTCATCTGAGATACGCGTGATCAGAACAAGAGGTGGGCCGGTCAGGTATAGAGAATGAGTGATAACAGATGGGCAACCTCAGTGTGGGCACTGGCATTCTTAACAGGGCCACTGGGTCAATGTGCGGTGGAGGACTTACATGGGCACAGCGTGCCTCGGTCTCTCAAGATGAGATCATGAGTCGTGATCAGTCAGCCAATGAGCATTTATTAAGCAGCAGTGGTAGAAGGCGTACCCCCTTCATGAGATCATGATTATAACTGGCATTGCTATAGCATGGATAGGTTTGCAAAGTGCTTTACATATTTTATCACAAAGGCAAGCTAGGTATTGCCGTTATTGGTAGTATTATCCTCATTTTACAGGTAAGGAAACTGAGGCTTAGAGAAGGCAAGCAGCTTGCTCACAATCACACAACTAGTAATGTCAGAGGGAGAATTTAGACCCACGTCCTTCCAATTCCATGTCTAGCCCTTGGTTTACTGTGCCAGGCTACCTCTCTGAGGCATCAAAGAATATAAGTACTTGATGAATGGTAAACGACAGCCCACTTTTATATAAAGCTCAGTTTATGGCTTGCAGGGTAAAGATGGGTGTTCCCATTGGAAAAAGCAGAGCTGAGAAGAAGATAAGATCCTGGGACAGTGGTTTGGCATTGTCCTTCAGCTCTACTGGAAGTCCCCTTGTGACTGGTTACTTTATGTGAGCATGCTGAATAAGCTGGCTGTCTATCCCTTTTTGTAAAGCTATAAGTTTGGTTTTTTGTTTTTCGGGTTTTTTTTAGGCAATTGGGGTTAAGTGACTTGCCCTGGGTTACACTGTTAGTAAGTGTCAAGTGTTTGGTCTGAACCCAGATTTGAACTCGTGTCCTCCTGACTTCAGGGCCGGTGCTCTATCCATTGTGCCACCTAGCTGCCCTAAAGCTACCTGTTTTTGAAGAGGAGTGCCGAAGCATAACTAGGATAATGTATGATGAGCGAGTCATTCTCATCACTCGAGTAGTACCTTTTGGGGGGGGGGGCGGATGACCCCCACACACTAACACTTACAGGCTGGTTCTCAGAAAGTGGCTGCTTCCTCGGGTTCCTCACTCCACGTCAGTCCGTACTCCTACCACTACAACGACAAGCCCCTAGTGGTGTGCTTCCCACAAACAATAAACCGGTAGATACAACGAACTCTTAGCAAAGTCATTTACTCAAATGGTGTAGCGAGTAATTATGAAATATTCCTCTCCTAAACTTGGAGCGCGTTCTCCCACAAATACATAGAACATCTGTGGGAAGAGTGGGCACAAACTTAAGACTGTCACGGTAGTGTCATGTACAGCAGGAGTGTAGAGTTTGGATTCAGTCAGAGGGCCACACTTGAGGACCTATGGGGCCACATGTGGCCTCCAGGCCGAAGGTTCCCCACCCTGATGTACGGTATCACGTACACATGTGACTAAGGCCGTTCTGCAGACTCTGGAAGGCCTTTCTCTTTGGAGAGAATGCATTAGGCTCTTCAGGTTGGAGTGCTCAGTGGGGTTCCCAGGGTCAGGTCCAAATAGCCGAGTTGCCTTCTCTGTGGCCCAGAGATCACAGTCCTTGAAAGTGCTTCTTCACTGGCTTACCACCTCTCGTTGCTCACGTCTGTCTGAAGTACATCACTCTATTCCCAGTGGACACACTGTCTTCCGCTGGTCCCATTGCCCTCCATCAAATCTGCGTGGCCTGGAAACTTCCACCTTCCCCTCCCCCTTCCAGGGGTCTTCATAGTCAGCGAAAGGCTTGCGATCTTTCCCTCTTGAACCGCTGAAATTTGCCCAGGGCTTAGCGATTTAAAGCTCCCAGAGGCGCTGGCTAATTTGTTTGCTCAGCCAATTGCTTTGTTCCCTTCTTAACTCAATCAGAGAAGTGTTTGTGCCTCATAAAAGGATCACAGGATGTTCTAGCTTGTTAACTCATTAAAACCTCTTCCCCTCCCTTACACATAAGTCAAAACTTAACTTCAGAATTGAAGAGGTTAAAAGCACCGAAGGAAGCCTGTGGGATGATGCTTGTGGATGAACTGAATGGTGTGCTATTTAAATTGTTTGTTTTTCCAATTAAAGAAATAATGAAATAACTGATAAGCCTACTTCCCAATAATGTGGGCAGTCCCCCCACTAGTGAGGGCTCAAAAGTCATCTACACCTTCTCTCCTGCCCAATTTTTGTCCACATTCTTCTGTAAATATGGCATAGGGGATTGCCCCAACACACAGATGCCTTCTTGAGGTCTTTTAATATTTTTTTGGATTCAAGCATAACCCTCAGACCACTCATTTATTTGCCCCTCACCTTAAGTAGAGGAACTGGCTCCCCTCGTTTTCCAGCCATCGTTACCTTGCAATGGAGGTAAGTCTGGGTCCTTGATGCCAGTGCACAAGGACCCTACAGTCCGCAAGCTGTGGCAGGCCCCACCAAAGGAGAAAAGTCAGAGTATGAACCTGGTTTACTGTCCAAAGATCAGCTCAGCTGAGTTGGAAGGAGCATGTCACCAAAGGGGGTGGCCCGCAGTGGGCATGACCCTGTCTTTTAGGCCACAGCTGGGCATGAAACCATCGCTGCTAAGGTGTAGGCTGTGTTAGCGAATTTAGTGATGAAATAATGACTCCACCGAGCGTCGGAGCTCATTCTTATAGCGCGCCTCTTAGCAGAGTTCCCAGGCGCTAACCAGCTGTCTTTTTACTGCACGGGGCACAGGGGAGCACATGACTGAGGAGGAGCTGTCAGACTGCTTCAGCACGCTGTTTGGCCTGAACCCAGAGGGCTGGAAATCGGAACCTGCAACCTTGGATTACAAAGGTACAGTGTGATGATTAACCTTCCCCAGGCAAGGAGCACAAGGAGCACTGATGAATGTTCTGCGGAATTAACAGGGCGTTTGTTTTCTTGACTAGTAGAGTTTTCACCAAGTTCAGCACAAGGAAATCACCACACAGCATATTAGAGAGGAATGCATATCCTCAATGAGAGCATGTTAACCATTTCTTTTGGTCATTCTTTTTGACTTCATGTCGCCTTGCTTGCTTTTCCGTCTTTTTTTTTCTTAATAACATCGACAAACTCACTTGTACATAGTGCTTCAAGATAAACAAAACACTTTCCTCAAACATAGCCCTGTGAGGGCGTGTCATGCAGGCATTATTATCCCCATTTTACAAATGAAACTGAAGATTAGAGAGGTTAAATAATCTGTCCATGGTCACACAGCTAGTTAGGATTTGGAGCCAGAATTCAAACCCAGGTCATCAGAACTCAACAAACATTTATTAAGTGTCTTCTGTATACAGTGTAGTACCTGGTACCATGCCAGGTGCTGGGGCTACAAAGACAAAAATGAAACAGTCTCTGTCCTCAAAAAGCTTACATTCTTTGGGGAAGTAGGGATAAAACATGCACATAAATAAGCAAATAGATGGTCACTTAAAGAGAGAGTATTAACAATTGGAGGGATCAGGAAAAGCCTCACAAAAGAGGTAAGACCTTGAAGGAAGCTCAGGTCCTGAAAGGGGTGCATTCCAGGCTCAAACCATACCCTATGCAAATTACAGAAAGGGGAGACAGAATAGCAAGGTGACCTGTTTGGAACATAGAGTGTGTGGAAAGGCAGAGTCTTGTGGCAAAGAGCTTTGATGGAATGCCAGCCAGGGACAGTTGTAAAAGGTGTCCTAAAAAGTCTTAGTGCAGTACAATGGCACTAAGACTTTTGGGACACCCTTTCTTTTATTATGGAGGCAATAAGGAAAGAGCCACTAAAGATTTTTGAGTGCAGCAGGGATATAGGCAGACCCCTGCCTTGGGAAGATTATTGTGGAAACTGTGCAGAGGATGGATTAGAGAAAAGAGAGTAAAAAAAAAAAGTGGGGAAGGAGCAGCTAGGTGACTTAGTGGATAGAGCACTGGCCCTGGACTCAGGAAGACTTGAATTCAAATATGGCCTCAGACACTTTCTAGCTGTGTGACCCTGGGCAAGTCACTTAACCCTGATTGCCTCCCCCCAAGAAAGTGAAGAGACCACTTAGGAGGCTTTGGCAATAATCTAGGCAGGTTGATAGGGGCTTGAACTAGGGCAGTACCATGTGAATGGAGGGTAGAGGACAGAGACAAGAGATACTGTGGAGGAAGAACCAACAGGACTTGGCAACTGATGGATCAAGGTGGATGAGAGAGAGAGAGAGAAGCCGAGAATGATTCCAAGGTTCTGAATCTGGATGCCTGGAAAGATGGTATTTTCGATAGAAATAGGAACTTTTAGAAGGAGGGGAAAGTTAAGAGATGATCTTGCACACAATAAATTTGAGCTGCTTTGGGGACATTGAGGTAGAGTTGTTCTTTAGGTCTGGTGAAAAGAGTCTGAAGTTTGGATGAGAGACTGGGGCTGAATATACACATTCAGGAGTCTTCTTCATAGAGGTTATATTGAACCCATGGGAACCGATGGGATCACCCAGCCATAGGGGAGGGAGGACCCAGGACAGAACCTTGAAGAATGCCCGAGTTCAGGGGCAGGAGATGGAAAGATGGTGATCCCATAGAGAAGATCAAGGAGAGGTCGCATGAGCAGGAAGGGAGAGCCCGTAGAGAGAGGTGTCACAGGTGCCAAGGGAGGAGGGAGTGGCTAAGAGGAAACGAGGGGGATCACTAGGGTCAAAAACTGTGGAGAGGTCAGCCAGGCTGAGGAATGAGAAAAGCTGTCAAGAAGATGTTAGTAGCTTTGAAGGGAAATGCGAGGCAACGTAGTATGAGGGGAAAGAGTACCAGATCTGGAGTCAGAGAAACTGGGTTAAAATCTTAGTTCTGCTGCTCTGAGCTTCAAAAGAAATTGGTGGAAGGGGGAGGGAATACTTTCGGCTTAGGGGAGGGTATCAGAGACTCTGGGCCTCAGTCTCCTCTCCGATAAAAATAAGGGGGCTAAACTCGCTCGTCTTTAAGATTCCCTCTGTCTATAAACCTGTCACCCCATAAATGGTGGGACTGTAGGCCAGAAATGGAAGGGGAGGAAGTGAAACGAACAGAGAAAGGTTATTTTTCTAGAAGTTTGGTCGTGGAAGGGAAGAGAGAGATAGAATAATAGCTTCAGAGGATGGCATACGTGTGTGTGTGTGTATTCAGAGAAGGCTCCACAGAGGAGGAGGCACCTTAGCTGAGCCTTGAAGTAAGAGATGGATTTTATATCTATTCCTTCTCTTTGAAGGAAGAGCTGAGGAGTAGATACATTCATACACACACACATAGAATATGTGCAAGAATACAGAGACCTGATCTATTCTTTTTTTTTTTTTTTTTTTGGTTGAGGCAATCAGGGTTAAGTGACTTGCCCAAGGTCACACACTAGTATGTGTCAAGTGTTTGGTCTGAGGCTGTATTTAAACTCAGGTCTTCCTGACTTCAGGGCCAGTGCTCTATCCACTGCGCCACCTAGCTGCCCCCAGGATGGCAGCTTCAAATGAAACTTTTTTATTAGTAATAATAACTACAGCATTTTGTAAAGATTTGCAAAGCACTTTACAAATATCTCAGTTTATCCTCTCAGTAGCCTTAGAAGATAGGTGTTGTTATTATCTTCATTTTACAGATGAAGAAACTAAGGCAGGCAAAGGTTAAATGACTTGCTCAGCGTCACACAGCTATAGCAGGCATCTATGGCTGGATTTTAAGTAAGTCTTCCTGACTCCAGGTCTGGTGCTCTGACCACTGTGGTACCCACTGCCTTTTTAAGGATGGGAGAGATAGAGACAAGCTTGTCAGCAGTGAGGAAGGGGCCAGTGATAATGAGGAAATGAAGGTGAGAGGGGCTGGGGAAAGGACCCGAGGGTCAAAACTCCCAGAGCAGATAGAGGGCTTGGCCTTGGCAAGGCCTGACAGACCAGAACAGAGGAGGAGAGAATGGGGGCAATGTAGAGAGACCCTGGAGTATAGAATAGCAGGCTCCTAGGCACGGTCCCATTGCTCAAGAGGGTGGACATAATGGCGCAGGGAAGGATTGCTGCACAAAAAGAGACCGTTAGGAAGGGACATCTTAGTTTACTGAAAAGGTTTAGCATTTCCCAGAACTTTTAAATACAAACATATATTGTTTTTAATAGATCAGGTCCCTGTATTCCTGCACATATTTTGTGTGTGTGTGTGTGTGTGTGTGTGTGTGTGTGTGTGTGTGTGTGT